TAGTATTAAAATATATTGTAATATACAGAAGAATGTTTATATCTATACATATAAATAAAATTGGTGTGTCTGTTTGTAATATTGAAATAACCGTTTTTTACTACATGCATATGAATATAAATACGGTACATATACCAAATTATACACTGTTATATTAAAATAGGTACATATTATTGGCTAGTAATTATTGTCATGTATACACGTATGTAACACATGTTATCGTGAGTGCGATGGTGACCATGGACCATGGGAAACATAATTAGTTCCATGTGGACATTTACAATTAGATATACTAACTCGCCTGAGCATATAGAACTATATCTGTTGTGTTAGCAGGAATGAACCGCGTGCAGGTCGACCTGACAAAATATATTGGGTTCGAATCCTCGCACGATGTATTCATAAGTATGATGCATTTATTGTTCTCTATAGTATAAACTAATATATTAATAGTCTCAGAACCAAAATTACATTTGTCTTTGTTCAGAGTAATTTTATACTTTGCTACGGTTGCCATAAATTTTGCTATATTAGCATCAAAGTAAGCTTATTATTTGTATTTGTCTGAGTGTTTTCTATATATATTATGTATGTACAAAAAAAGTATTTATATCAGTTGTCTAGTACCCATAATATGAGGTCTGCTTAGCTTGGAACTAGATGGCGCTGTGTAAAATGTCGTAGGTTTGTTTTATTGAGGGTTTTGGGCTATCGTCAGATGCTAAGACCTGTAGCACTGTGACCTGCATAGATCTATTGTGCTCTCCCTTTTTCACCACCGAGACCGATTAGGGAAAAGTAGCAGTGCGACCTGCATTGATCTATTGTGCTCGCCCTTGTTCAAAGCTCGCTACCTAGATCCATAAGAAATAAAAATTGAAGAATATTTTAGGAGCTATGTTTTTTATCTCCTCAGGATAGAATGTATACTTCCCAAAGGAGATATTTCGTTTATGCATGAGTGGGCTATAACCACATAGGATGTGTTGTTCTAAGTTAAGAAAGATAATAAAATAATCACGGATATATGGAAATCGCATAATTTCCTGCAGAATAACATCCAATTATGAATACTAATGGAATTGGGATTACCAGTAGTAATAAATATGTTACCTACATTTGCGACTGACCACCGTAATAAAGGAAATCTAATCGCAATATCTAATAATTGATGATTTTATATGAATTTCTGTGATTATACAGCGTACCTAATACAAGTGTTTGTTATTACAAAGGTCAAACGTATTAAATATTTAATAAAAACATGTTATTATTAAATTGCATGGATATAAATTATTATTATTATTACATATTATATAAGCAAGTCTTGACATTTGCATAAATTAAAATACAAAAATTCTTCAATTTTTTATTTCCCAATTACGCTTCTGAAGAAATATTTTGATTTAAAAATTTGAAACTGCATACATGCAGTTGCAAATAGTAGATAAAAATTGTTTCGCAATACTTATTATTAATTTCATTTATTAAATTTAACATTAACAAATTTTACAGCCTCGGTGGTCTAGCGGTTAAGACACCGCCTTACTCCTGATAGTCGCGGGTTCGATTCCTCGCACTAACTATGTATTTATATCAATTCAGGCTCTACTTAGCTTAGGACTAGATGGCACTGAGTAAATTGTCGTGGGTTAGTATTATTAATTGAGTTTGAAATTGTACAACAAATCATCATACTTACCAGTAGGTACATTGATTAACTAGCTGTTCCTGCGACTTCGTCCGCGTGGAATTTAACTTTATTTTTTTTTATAAAACATTTTTTCTAAAATAAAAGTAGCCTAAGTTGCTCCTTATTACATCAGCTACCTGCCAAAAAAAAGTCCCGTCAAAATCGGTCCAGCCATTTCAGAGATTAGCCGGAACAAACAGACAGACAGACAAAATTTGTAAATAATGATATAAGCCTGTACAATAAAACCGTCATTTAGCCTGTATCGTCGGCTACAAATTCTTCCATGTGCAGTTTCACTGACGATACTCTACTTTCCTAGTTATATTTTAATATAATTGTAAGAATCGGCCTCCATCCCGGAGCTGCCAATGGTGTAGATAAATAAGTAATAAATATGTTTCAGATAAAATATATTTTTTTGAAAGTCCTTCTCGGCTGGAATATAATCCATGACGTACAAATAGGTTGTAAGTTGTCCATTCAAACGATGACCACCTTAGTAGTAAATCAACGTGTAGATCTCTTTCTCTCGCAATGCGATATCGGACTCCTCGCTCTCCGCCGCCACCAGCCCTCCACGCGACGGTAACGCTTTTGCGTGACCAAAAAATCCGAATACTATGGCAGTTTAACTTACAAAACAATTAACATTTCCATATGTGCTCTTGGCCCATGTTCAGCAACAGGTCAAGGTAATATATCCTTTGGAAAGAAGTTTACACTCTATCCTGAGGAGATAAAAACCATCGCTCGTAAATACCCTTCAATTCTTTTCCCTGAGGGGTCTAGGTAGAGAACTCTGAAAAATGGCGAGCACGATAGATATATGTAGGTCGCAGTGCTACAGGTCAAAGTGACCCATTTTGCTCCCAGTCCAAAACTTCTTAGATGGTTGCGATAATTGTTATCAAGACTAGTGAAAACTGCGGCTCCGAGGGTGAGTTTGAGATGCAGCGCACTGGCAAAGGAGTAAAAAATGAGGTCATTTTTCTCGGTTCAAATTGCTATAAAAAAATAGTTAAACCTATATATTGAAGATAAGAAATAGTCAGCTGGTTATAGGCTACGATCATAAAAAACTAAACCAAGTGACTTGGTTATAGTCTGCGGCCAACGGGATTGAAATTGTTTAAACTTATTACTGAATACAGTTTTCGCTCGAGATTTTTTAAATTTGAATAAAAAGCCGAGAAATTAGTGTCGAGAACTCTCGAACAAATAAAATATGTCGATAAATCGAAAACTGAACAATACGCGTCTTACTTTTGTAACTTGTCTGATCTTACTTAATTTCAGACAACATCTTAGCTTAGTGTAGCTAAGTTGACCTTACTTAATGGTGTTTTTCTGTACTCATTGTTAGGACAACGGTGTTAATGATGTTTTTAGCTAATTGGAGGTCACTGACCCAGACATGTGACATCATGCCAACTTGGCCATTTGTGTTCGGTTGTTCAAAATACGGATATGTTTTTTTATATGTTTATCATTATTATTACTAATGAATTGGTGCACCCGCTTGCTTTAACGAAATGAAATTAATTACAAATATTTTATAAAATATTTTTTAATTAAATTCATCCCATATAGAAGGGGTGTGTATATGTTTGTTAGTTTGCATAGAACTTTTATTAAGAATGCGTACACGTACGTACTAGATGTCGCAGCGGCGATATCGTTTCATTTTGTTCCTGTATATATGTGTAAGCTATTTTCTAAAAATAAACCCTTTTTCTTAATTCAACAATCCAACATCACTGGTTGTTTTATATATTTATCACCAGAGGATGCTGTGGTAGTCGTTAGAGTAGTGTTGGGTTGTACAGGATGAAATTTGTGCGACGAAGTAGTGGTAACGGCTAGTGTAATATTCATTTGTAGATAATTGCTAGGGTTGTAACTATTATTTAAACTTTCTGCGTATGCCAGAAACTGGCGCTGAATTGTAATTAATTGTTGCCTTTTTAACGCTAACCCTGGACCACTCCACACCGTGGGCACGCATCGAAGTCAGGGTCACTACCGTTCTCCAGATGGGTAAGACTCGTGTGAATGTAGTACGTAACTTGTATGTAAGGTGTAAAAATAGTGTAAGCAAAAAAAACTGGAATAAAAGGCTAAAAGGAAAGCAAAATAAAAATTTAAAAAAAAACAGGTATGAGTTATCATCGGCCAAAAGGAATGGCTATTACTTTACAATAAAAAAAAGATAACTTTTAGATTTTGAGAAGAATTGAAAAATGTGTATATTTGTGTATACAACACTTTTTTATTTGAATTAACGCAATGCCTGAAAGTTAATGATGAACTTACATTTTAGCTGTTTTTAATATATAATTATATGTATAGTTTTTATACTATATATGTGTTAAAAATAATGGGGAGAATCATTATTTATATCTGTTTTGGGGCTAGAAAATGCATGTGATTATTACTTATAATTATATTTTTCTTTTGATTCGACTAACAAATACCTCTCTCCACAAAATTATGGTTATATAATTATTTGCATATAAAAAAATATTAGTGTTTTATTAAAATAAACCACAGATTATTATACAAATATATTTATATACATTTAAAATTCATCCAAAACTGAACTTCTACTGATCTCTATCAGCCATCTTTTGGTTATTTTATGTCAGTTTCTTACAGCCGACGTGACTGAGCTCACTCTTGTTTTATGCATATCATCATTCCAAAATTATAGTAATATACATATTAAAGTTACCAACAAAACATTCACTATGGTTGTAATCACGCGCAAATAGTTCAAGTATATATACATAGAGTTTAATTACTAGTTGCCACGGCAAAAGTAGCTTGTTTCACATTTAGCACTAATGTAAGAAAGTGAAAATAAATTTCTAACTGTAATATATAAGGCAATGCGTTAATTCTTCTACACGCTGTATTATTTAATGTATAAATATATGAACAATTGTGTAAATGTATGTAGATTATATATATTTTAAATATAGTACATTTATATAGATATATAATTATAAATATTTACCATTCTCGATAATACTTTATAATTCACCCCCTTGAAATTACATTATCAAATCTTGGACCATTATTGAATTTTTAAGTTGCAAATATCAGATGGTATTAAAATTGGTGATATGTTTAAAACTACAAAAGTCATAAATATATCACCATATTTCGTAAACGTATTATTGTATTTGACTGTATATTCAATCTCTTTTGTTAATAAGAAGTTTTAATAATAGTAATAGTCCAGGACAATTGACAGAATATTATAAAAATATTTTTTTAAATGAAACTATTGTTTTGTTTGTAGGTGATGCAACAAGACGTCAAGAAGGAGAATCCTCTGCAGTTCAAATTCCGCGCCAAATTCTATCCGGAGGACGTGGCAGACGAACTTATACAAGAGATCACACTGAAGCTGTTCTATCTTCAGGTACGAAAACACATTATTGACTTGCTGTAGTTGTTGAGTATCAATTTTAATTTCGGAGTTGAGTTGAGTGAGTACCCTTGATGCTCAATACTTAAACCATTATGAGGAATATACCCTAATTACATAATGACTATTTGTAATTGGTGTTTATTATTTTTTTTTGTTTATTGCTTTACCAAAAGGCGGCCTTATCGCTAAAAGTAATATATTATAGACAACGTGGGGTTAATAGTCTAAGAATCTCACACACCCCCTCGATGCCCCTTCGGCAGGGGACGATGTTTTGAAGATTTTTCCACACAATAAAATCAAATCGGAAATCATTTATATATGTAGGATATTTTAGCCGCTTATGAACGTCAAGTTGTGTTAATATTTATTCCATAGCGCTTTTTTTGCTTTCCCTACCTAATATACAGATTCAAAGCAAGAAAAACAACTGATTACCTTCTTTTTGTAATTTATTTACATACTTAAGTATCATCATCATCTGCTTCTTCCTTATCCCATTTATTTGGGGTCGGCGTAATATGTTTTTCTCTTCCATTCATCTCTGTTCGCAGTCATTTCGTTATTTACTCCCTTTCTCACCATATCATCTTTCACACAGTCCATCCATCTCTTTTTCGGTCTTCCTCTACCCTTATAACCATCCACATTCAAATGTAACACCGTCCTTAGGATATGATCTTCATTCATACTTAAGTATATATGTCTAATATTGTAAATTCTAAAAAAAGCAACTTGTTAACGACTTTTTTAACACAATTTGGTAATATAGGTGAAGAACGCAATCCTCTCGGATGAAATCTACTGTCCGCCAGAGACGTCGGTGCTGCTGGCGTCGTACGCGGTGCAGGCGAGGCATGGCGACCACAACTCCAACATCCACGGTCAAGGGTTCCTGGCCAACGACCGCCTGCTGCCGCAGCGAGTCACCGATCAGCATAAGGTAACCAGTTTGATTACACTCTATCCTGAGGAGATAAAACCATCGTTCATAATAATATACTTCAGTTCTTATCCCTGAAGTCTTTGTAGCGAACTTTGAAAAAGGGCGAGCACAATACATCTATGTAGGTCGCAGTGCTACAAGTTCAAGCACCTGACATTAGCCAAACAACCTAATAAAAAAAAACAGTTTGATGACTAGAGATAGAAATAATCTTTTTTCAAATAAACTTAACGTAAGCACTTTTGAATAGTCATATTTTTTTATTCTACCACTCATTTGGAACGTAGATTTATCATAAGAAGAAACCTGCTTGCTGCTCTATTAATTAAATAAATGTTGTTCTAAACCTTACTAAGGATAAGGCATGCGACAATCGACATTTAAACCGATACGCGCTCAATCTTTGTGCAATCAGATAATAATCTTCTAGTTTCAAGCTAATATATATACATACCTAATATACAAAGACAACCGACCAATACAAGCAATTATACTCATGAATACCGTGCAAAGAACCCGCGACCATCGGTACTAAGGCGGTGTGCTCAACCACTAGGCCACCGAGGTAGTTTATGCCAGAGTGACTGCAAAACCTCGGCAAGCACAGCACTCGGGTTATTTTATTGTACCTGAAATTATAATGTAATCAACAGATGTCCCGAGATGAATGGGAGCAGAGCATCACGAACTGGTGGCAGGAGCACCGCGGCATGCTGCGCGAGGACGCCATGATGGAGTACCTGAAGATCGCACAGGACCTGGAGATGTACGGTGTGAACTACTTCGAGATCAGGAATAAGAAGAACACGGAACTGTGGCTCGGCGTCGACGCCCTCGGTCTCAATATCTACGAGAAAGATGACAAGTTAGTAATCATTACATAGTATAAAACAAAGTCGCAGTCGCTGTCCGTCCGTCCCTATATATGCTTAAATCTTTAAAACTACGCAACGGATTTTGAAGCGGTTTTTTTAATAGATAAAGTGTTTCAAGAGGAAGGTTTATGTGTATAATACATGTACACCCGGGCGAAGCCGGGGTGGGTCGCTAGTTTTATTATATAGCGACTTCAAAATAATAAATTGATTTAGGCACTATATACCGACTTCAACATAATGATACCTTTATTCCTTCTTGCAATTAGCTGTAAGTTTATATTGTGTTAATTGAATACATAAATTTACAATCGTTACAAACATATATTTTTGTACATAAATTTATGATATATTGTTCTAACATATCTAAAAATTTATAATATTAATTTAATCTTTGGCATGATCGGTGTAATTCATATATACTTTATAATGCCCTACGATTTGACATATTTGAAATTTAGGCTGCTGATATACAGTTTTCAGTTTTCAACATGTCATTATAGTTTGTAATTTTATTTTCTAAACAGATTTGAATAAATAAAATAAGTTAAATGTGAAGGTTGTTTAAAATAAATTACTGTTTCTTAGATTAGGTTACAAAAGCACGCAATAACTTGTTTGTCACATTAGAATGTCTCGAAATTGTTTTATGAGAAAACAGTTTCAATTTACGATATTATTATCTGAGTTTCTTGTAATTTCTTCTTAGCTCAGAGCTGACGGTAGTTTTTGACATATAAAAAAGATTCTGTAATAGACCAACATGAATAAAGATATTTTGATTTTATTTGTGCTCTATGATATTTGCAGGCTGACACCCAAAATCGGCTTCCCCTGGTCTGAGATCCGCAACATCTCTTTCAACGACCGCAAGTTCATCATCAAGCCGATCGACAAGAAGGCGCCGGACTTCGTGTTCTTCGCGCCGCGTGTTCGTGTCAACAAGCGCATCCTGGCGCTGTGTATGGGCAACCACGAGCTCTACATGCGCCGCCGCAAACCCGACACCATCGACGTGCAGCAGATGAAGGCGCAGGCCCGTGAGGAGAAGCTGGCCAAGCAGGCGCAGAGGTGACCTCTCCCACTCTCTTACTCTCTTCTTACACGCGACACAAGCCGAACACCATCGACGTGCAGCAGATGAAGGCGCAGGCCCGTGAGGAGAAGCTTGCCAAGCAGGCGCAGAGGTCACTAACTCTCTTACACTCTCCCACTCTTTCTTACTACTCGTAACCAACGACCATCAAACAGCGTGGTCTGGCGCAAACTAAAAAGAGCATACGACTAATAGAAGTCTTTCAATACTTTTTTCTGAATAATAATAATATATCAGGACAATTCACAGTGTCCTATAGTCGCAAACTAAGCAGAACTTGTGTTATGGATTCTAGACTACTGATATAAATATTTAGATATATTTTTTTAATACTTACATAACCCTGATCGTTACGAACAATTATACTCATAAATACAAATGGTTGTACCGCGCGAAGAATCGAACACGCGACAAGAACTTATTGTTAACATGTACAACATTTTTTGAAAATAATACGAGCTGAGTTTCTCGTCAGTTCTTCTCATCTCGAAATCATTCCGAACTGACGGTAGATTTGACATATCATATGAGTCTGTAATAGACTTACATGAATAAAGATATTTTGAATTTAATTTGAATTTTGAAAAAACGGTGTCTAAACCGCTAGTCTACTGAGGCCGTCAATAATGTGTTACTGTATTACAGAGAGAAGCTGCAATTAGAGATCGCGGCCCGCGAGCGCGCTGAGAAGAAACAGCAAGAGTACGAGGACAGACTGCGGCAGATGCAGGAGGAGATGGAGCGCTCACAGGTCGGCTGTCTCTTTCACACACATTTATATATAACATGTATAGATCTTTTATATATATATATAGCTGCTTTTACATGACATATTCTTTCACGCGCTAACAGGAGCGCGCGTTCAATGTGTTTTCTTTTAAAATTTTAGTTTTTTATTTCACTGATTTTATTTTCTAAAAACACGTTTCATATTTATAAACTATCAATAACTTTACAATTATGTATTTGCTCTACAATCGGATTTACAATGTTACAACCACTGCTTTACAATGTTAACTAATTATTTCAAAAAGGCACTAAAGAAAAAGGGGAAACGAAAGAACGCGTTTTTTCTCGTTTCTTTACATTTACATGCACATTTTCTTCTGCGTGAAAGAGCGTACGTGTAAAGGCAGCTAAAGGCAAACGTAATCGCAGATAGCTGGTTGGTTATTATTGTAATAATGTATAATTAATCGTCCGTCATACTCGTGAACGAGTGCTGCTTGTAGGGACTGGTCTACTCTTATCACTACGACTGATTTAATCTTATTGTGTATTTATATTTGACCCTTATAAATTAGTGTTGGTTGGTAGTTTGTATTCACACATTTCGACTTATAAATGTGAACTTACAAGGATTATTTAAAAGAGCAACACACAAGTTTCTTGCTCGTTCTTCTTGTGAGAGACAGATTTTCCGAATAAGCAGTAGATAAAAAAAAATTGTTAAGACTATTTAAAAGTGCTTAAATTAAGTTTATTTGAATAATGATTTTTTTTTGTCTATTCTATTCTAATGAAGCTCGCATTTTTTACATGTTACATTGTGCAATAAAGAGTAAAAAAATGATTGAGTTTAGTCATGAACTCGGACTCACTGTTACATAAAATATCAAGTTCTGGATATTTGTCTACAAGATCGTTGTACATATTATAATTACTAAAAATTGTAAATCTTGGAATATCATTAAAATTAACCATAATGATTTTGCCACAGGCGAACCTGGTAGAAGCGCAAGACATGATCCGAAGATTGGAGGAGCAGTTAAAATTGCTGCAAGCTGCCAAGGAAGAGCTGGAGCAACGCCAGAACGAGCTGCAAGCGATGATGCAGCGTCTTGAGGAGACCAAGGCGAGCAAAGCTTGTATTATTACCCTAGTGTTGTAACCCTGCACAATAATTTTGATTGGTACCTAAGGAAAATAAGTATTATGTACCTAGGGGGCGTTCAAGTATTACGTAAGCAGATTTATTACAATTATTTACCCCCCATCACTCTTGTCAGCAAAAGTAAGCAAAGCTCTTACATAAACATTTTTCAAATAATGTATTTTTTTTAGCAAAGACAATGTGAGTGTTGCCATTCGTGTAAAAAAGTAAATAACTGCTGATGACGTAATCATCACATAGACTCCCTCACCCCCATGTCATCCAAAGTAAGTAAAGCAATGACCCCTCCGCCTAATAATATTACGAGTAGTATAGAGTTATTAAAGTTGTATGTTTTGGTTTAGAATATGGAAGCAGCGGAGCGCGCTAAACTGGAGGAGGAGATTCGCACCAAGCAGGAGGAGGTGTCGCGCATCCAGCAGGAGGTCGAGGTCAAGGACTCGGAGACACGCCGTCTGCAGGAGGAAGTGGAGGAGGCACGCCGCAAGCAGGTCAGTAACCCTGATCCTAGGTCTCGGTAGTCTAGCGGTTTAGCAAACCACTTTACTTCCGACGTTCGATTGGAGAGCCTTTATGCCGTTGAAATTTCTAAATGTGCTTTGTTGTATTAAGATTTGTTCTGTTTAAAAGAGAGTAAAGGTATAGAGTACACAATATTTTTTTCGGCGTTAATAAATTATTCATTCACGATTTAAGAGCTGTGCTCTTGTCGGAGCTCCCGCCACCTTCCACGATCTTCTATCAATCTTTAGTTATTGTTACAACACGACTCCAACTTTTTCCTTAACCTGCTTGTATAAAAAATATTAACTCTATGTACTAGTAAAAGTATGTATTATAATGAAATAATAACCATATAGCATTAATTTAACATATCTCTAACACTATTCACTAGCATTTTCACATTTCACACTCCTCACCGTTGCTTCTCAATACATTTATGAAAATATCATCTATACCAGGAAAAATATAGACAGTTTCAAAAGAGTTAGTGATTGCACCAATAAAAGCTTACGTAATAATAACAAACTGATTTTACCTAAATGTCGTTTGGCTAAAGTTAGTAATTCGTTTTATGGAAATTGCGTAAGGTTTTACAATAAAATACCAGAGTCTGTTATAAATCTGCCAGAAAAAAGATTTAAATGTCAAATAAAACAGTTCCTTCGCAAAAAAGCTTACTATAAAGTTGAAGAATTCGTTAACGATAATAATGTTTTTATAGAAAAACTTTAAATCCATAGCACTGACAATATTATCTGATTACACTAATAATGAGTGCGTAGCGATTTCTATGTTGATTATCGCATGTAAAAAAAAAACAGCTATTAAAAAGAGCAACACACAAGTTTCTTGCTCGTTTTTCTTGTGATGAATCTGCATTCCGAATGAGTGGTAGAATCAAAATATGACTATTCAAAAGTGCTTGTAATGAGTTTATTTGAATAAAGATTATTTCTATTTCTCTTTAAAATACAACCAGCATATACTGTGCTCAAAGACCGAATGCCGTGGCTTACAAAAGCCCAACTTAGTGGGGGTTATACGCATAGTTTAACAAAACCAAGTAATAATGAAACTACCTTCTTTTAATATTTTTAAATTATCGGATGTTTCTCCAATATCGATGTGAACCCTATCACTTAATGTAGCCGTATTTTGGTCTTCCTCTTTTTCCATCTATTTCCTTCTATAATATTATTAATAAGTTTGTTGTGTCGTATCAAGTGCCCCAATATTTTAAATATAAAATAATAGATTATACAACATATAATTATCTAAACTTCATGTATACAAGCAACGGTTAATTCTATTCTATTAGAGCGAGTCGAAACGTCAACTTGCTCTCCATTTCAATTCTATTACTATTTTTAAAGAAAATTCAATGTTTTAATTTAGTTGCAATATTAATGATGAAATATGTTTAACATATTTACGCCAGAGTCAATTTTATTAGTTTTGTTGTGAGGTGGCACTCAAATTAATTACGTGCTTCATCTGGCAGAGGCGATTTTTGCCATATTGTTTTAATTTTCATTCATTGTCTAATAGCACAATCGAATGCGTATTACCCGTAGGCAAAGTGCGGGCCACCGGTGGTACGCGCCGTCCGATGAGACAGTCTAGTGCGGGCCACCGGTGGTACGCGCGGTCAGATGAGACAGTCTAGTGCGGACCACCGGTGGTACGCGCGGTCAGATGAGACAGTCTAGTGCGGGCCACCGGTGGTACGCGCGGTCAGATGAGACAGTCTAGTGCGGACTACCGGTGGTACGCGCGGTCAGATGAGACAGTCTAGTGCGGACCACCGGTGGTACGCGCGGTCGCGGTGCGGACCACCACGCGCGGTCCGATGAGACAGTCTAGTGCGGACCACCGGTGGTACGCGCGGTCCGATGAGACTGTCTAGTGCGGGCCACCGGTAGCCCGCGTGGTGTAAACGTGTTAAGTATGTTTAGGTTATAGTAATGTATACATATGTTGTATGACAGGACGAGGCGGCGGCGGCGCTGGCGGCGGCCACCACGCCGCAGCACCACCACGTGTCGGAGGGCGGCGCCGACGGCGGCGACCACGACGGCGGCTCCGACGGCGGCTCCGAGTCCGGCGGCGGGGAGCTCGCGCGCGCCCCCGACGACCTCGTCGACCCCGTCACCGACCGCCGCACGCTGGCCGAGCGGAACGAGCGCCTCCACAACCAGCTCAAGGTACGGGGGGGACGGGGGGGACACGGGGGGGACGGGGGACACCACCCACCCGGTCACCGACCGCCGCACGCTGGCCGAGCGGAACGAGCGCCTCCACAACCAGCTCAAGGTACGGGGGGACGGGGGGACACGGGGGGGACGGGGGACACCACCCACCCGGTCACCGACCGCCGCACGCTGGCCGAGCGGAACGAGCGCCTCCACAACCAGCTCAAGGTACGGGGGGGGACACGGGGGTGGGGACGGGGGACACCGGGGACACCACCCACCCGGTCACCGACCGCCGCACGCTGGCCGAGCGGAACGAGCGCCTCCACAACCAGCTCAAGGTACGGGGGGACAGGGGGGACGGGGGACACCACCCACCCGGTCACCGACCGCCGCACGCTGGCCGAGCGGAACGAGCGCCTCCACAACCAGCTCAAGGTACGGGGGGGACACGGGGCTGGGGACGGGGGGGACGGGGGACACCGGGGACACCACCCACCCGGTCACCGACCGCCGCACGCTGGCCGAGCGGAACGAGCGCCTCCACAACCAGCTCAAGGTACGGGGGGGGACACGGGGCTGGGGACGGGGGGGACGGGGGACACCGGGGACACCACCCACCCGGTCACCGACCGCCGCACGCTGGCCGAGCGGAACGAGCGCCTCCACAACCAGCTCAAGGTACGGGGGGACGGGGGGGGACACGGGGGGGACGGGGGACACCACCCACCCGGTCACCGACCGCCGCACGCTGGCCGAGCGGAACGAGCGCCTCCACAACCAGCTCAAGGTACGGGGGGGACGGGGGGGGACGGGGGACACCACCCACCCGGTCACCGATCTTCCAGCTCAATGTGCAGCCACCATCCAGCTCAAAGTACAGCCACCATATAGCTCAAAGTATAGCCACTATCCAGCTCAAGGTACTACCAGAATTTAGCGCAAGGTACCGCCACCAGTTTGCGACCGGTTGTCGTGCTAATCCACTTGCCGGTCTAGCAGTTTCAGCAGCTATAGAGATATTTTCTAGCAGTTATAGAGATGTTTTAAACAAAATGAAAAACTGCTCTGTCTACTACATAAGGAATGATCAAAATCATCATTTTACAAATAATCGCGTAATATTCACAAAGGTATTGTAAAATTTAATTTGATTTCAAAAATAAATACATATATATGTACTTTCATTCATAATTTAAAAGCCATACTTTTATTGTTGATGCTCTTATCATTTACCACGATCTTCCAACATCCTCTTTAAATGTTGACGACGACACATGTTCTTATATATAAATTAAATCAACAGGCACTAAAACAAGATCTCGCGCAATCGCGCGACGAGACGAAAGAAACCGCCATGGACAAGATCCACCGAGAAAACGTCCGCCAGGGGCGAGACAAATACAAGACGCTGCGTGAGATTCGCAAGGGGAACACCAAGCGGCGCGTCGACCAGTTCGAGAACATGTAACCGGCAGCGGAACCGCGCGGCCCAGGGACGGCGGCTACCGTCCACCGTCCACCGTCGGCTGACAGCCGCCGTCACACTCCACCACCCTTCGTCCCGAGGCTGCCAGCCCTCCACCCTCGCGATGTGACGGTCACGGCCCTAAGTCCACGGTACATGCGTTCGAGACCGACTAAATTTAAATTTAAAAGTCCAATACGTTGGATGCACACGGCCCGATCGTACTCGGTATCGAGTGCCAAAACTTTCTTAAATAAAAAAATATATATTACGTTCACACTTGACTGCGTTGTTATTGGTTATGATGTTGTTTAGTTGTACTGCCGTCGGTCTGTGTGCATCCGACGATATGAGAATGTATGTACGGTCCGATAACGCGCTGGTGCTTACACGTCGCGATTTCGGACCCGTGACGTCATAGTCGGGACTGTATATGTAAATATTGATTATTACTTAATAGTAATTTTATTTTAGACCATAATGTGCTATATCCTACATTATAGTTGATGAATCATGTCTTACAATAACTTATATATATATATATATATACGTATATAAAAATATTTCATAAAGTCGGCACATGATGGACTTGTTTTTATTATTAATATATTTATTTTTAAGTGATTGGGATTATTGTTTAACTCCACGGTGTATCTCCTGAGTATTACTTGGATCGAGTCATAAGTGCTGCGTGTTTGTCCAATAATTATTACATTGGTGATTCATTTGTTTTTTTTAATAATTTTCTGTTGATTATTGTAGCGTTATGTCATGTTATTGAGAGCCAGTTGTATGTAATATAACGTTAAATATCTGTGGGAGAAAGGATATGAAAATGATGACATTAGTGCAATGCTGGAATTAATAATAAATTGGTTCATTCAACACAAGTTTGTGTACTTAAAGAGGTATATATCAACATTTTATAATACATTTTATAGGTTATATTGCCCAAATAGTTTGCTTAGAACTGATACGGTTTTTTATTATACAGATTTATAATACGTGTTTTAAATTCTATATACTTATAGTTATCATTACTCTTTTAATTGAATTTTTCCAAGTTGATTCTTAACTCTTTACTATACTATTGTGTATAAAATATTTTATGTATCTCTTACGTCCTTCGTAGGTCCGTATCAGATTTTTATGTAGCAATACTAATTGGCAATATGCTGTATGTAGCAATGTATTTACTAGGCAACAATTGACGTGCAAGAAATAAATGCAAATAAGAGAAACTAATGATTATTTGATTGAACTTAACGATTTATGATACTTCGTCTGCATTACGCTTTCTACACGATTATCATTATATTACGCCCAATTTACGTATATTTTTAAATCATGGCTTATATGTTATTCTGATGCATAAGCAGTATTACAAATTTCATTAAATACGTTCAAAAAATTAAATATTGCACGTCAATTCTTTGCTCTAGTCAATGCATTGCTTGTGTCCAACACGAATTTGGTTGATTTAATGAGGTTGCTCAAGAGAACAAAAACATGATTCGATAAACATTAGTCCGAAGTGTCTTGTCTGAACGTGAAGTGGAGGTGAAAGGGGAGGGACGTCGCGACGGCACGCGTCCCGGCGTTCCTTATTTATTTTTATAATCATTTTATATATTTTAGATATATAAGTCGATTTAAAGCTTCATGAGAGGATCGATGTTGTGTAAATTAATGCTGATATTATGTTACTTAGCATATGTATAACGTAGTCGGTACGAACAGCTGCCACATTGTCTGATGTAGCTATAGATACATACACATGACCTATACCTGTTTGTTTTCTGAACAAAATTCGAAATAACATGCGAAGTATATAACTGTATGCGTACTAGGAAGAGTATAATTTAATTTTAAGTGAACAAAAGGCATTCCATATTACAATGAGGTGGCGTCAACATGGTTATAATGAAAATTAAAAAATAGTTGAATAACATTTTTCGTGTTTTGTTTTAAACATAGTGCCATCCGTTGCATGTCCCTGGTCAGTTCGGCGGGTTCGTTCGATCGTTGATCGCTGATCGTTCGGTCGATCGGTCAAACTTCTAACATCTCATATTGTAATAAAAGCCGAACATTCGCCAGAACGAAGAGTATTATAGCCTATGGCCTTGTCATTGTTTTCTAAAATTATACAATACCATGTTGCCTTTCAATTTAGAGAATGATTTTTCCAATAAAACGTTTAATTAAATAATAATTGGGTTTTATTCATAAATAATATGGTCCACAATCTTATAAATATTGCATCTGTTATTATATATTATGTACAATTATAAATTATATTACAATTTGTAAACAACACTCATGTAAAATCCTAACTTTAACAGAGTTCTTTGCATAACAAAATTTGATACTAATAAAGTTATTATTCAATAGGGCTATCTTTTACTCTACATGAAAACTTCATTTCTTAAACCTTTTAGAATGCCTGTTATAACTTCAATGTAGCTATAACACGCTTTCTAAAATGGAGTTTAGAGAATTAATTTTACTATCACAAGCAAAAACCAGAGACAATACAAAAACAGGCGTTTGTTACAGTAAAAAATAACATACACCCCAGTTGAATGCTGAAAGTTGACTCTTATATTGTTCTCATTCTATAACGGTATATTGTATATATATGGTGCTCCCTGCTGCTGCGCTAACGGTTTACACTGGGGGGCAACAGTGGAGGATGAAAGAACATGAGGTCAGGTCAGTTAGCTCATCGTGACAAATTCACCAGGCAATTTTCATTATGGTTTCCAGGGGAACCGCGTGGACGTCAACCTGATATGATTGCTAGTAATAGGGTCATCAGTCACTATAATTCCCTTGTTCTTATAATATACAACTGTACTTTGGAATGTAATCTAATCTCTAATCATTATAGTTTTTATTCCAATCCAGCCTTGTACTATTTTAAAATAAATCAAGGCTAAATAAAATAAATGTATGTCAGTTTAATCATAATTACTTCCTAAAGTAACAGCTCATCTTTAGGGAGACTTATTAACAAAAAATGGTTATATTGTATTACCAGCTATACCCGAGATTACACCCGCGTGAAACTTATAGCCTATGTGTAATTCTGATGTCTAAGTCATATCACTGTAAAGTTTCAACAAAATCGGTTCAGTAGTTTCTGCGTGAAAGAGTAACAAATATTCATACTCACAGAATTTCATTTATAATATTAATGAGATATGCTTAGAGTGAATGGTATTTTATTGTTGGCAGTGTGTTGACATGTTTAGATCAAATGGTTGTAATAAAAACTTCACAATATAATGGAATGATACAAGTAAAAAACGTACAAACTATCATTACATCAGATCCTTCAGAGCAGATAAAGCGATATACACTAAATTTAAACTTTAATTATACAAATAAAGCAATTTACATAATAATCTTTTCATTTGATATTTCTATAAATTCTCAGCTTTTAATACATTTATCTTTGATAAGATTAATAATTCACTTTAAATTATATTAGATTACATAAACTTAAAAATAAAATAAATAAGATTCAAATTATTTCCGAAAATTATCCCCAAGGAGGAATAATGCGTCAGGCATGCGGCCGGTCATAAAAAACAAGCCAAAACTATTCTCTCGTAATATTATTATCAATTTGGGTGAACAAATTGATATTTGCGAAAATTATTTAATACTAGCTGTACCCGCGACCCCGTTATTAACAAAAAGCGAATTAGAGATTTTTCTAAAATAAAAGTTGCTTATGTTACTCCTTTTTACATCAGCTACTTGCCAATAAAAGTCCCGTTAAAATCGGTCCAACCATTTCAGAGATTAAACGGAACAAACAGACAGACAGACAAAAATTGTAAAAAATGTTATTTTAGTGTATGTACCATATTTATATTCATATGCATGTAGTAAAAATCGATTATTTCAATATTAGAAACAGACACTCCAATTTTATTTAGATGTATAGATTAAACAAAGAAGCACGATCTCTTAGGTTCGCTACCAACAAGAAACCTACGGTACACCGAGAGAGTGACGTTACTGTAAATCGGTAGTAAGGCGCTTTTTAATTGATACTTTATTGCTTTGAGCAGTTGAGACTTTTTCCCGCAATTTAATATGTAACTGTAATAAGAATAGTCCTGGACAATTCACACAGCGCCATCTAGTCACAAGCTAAGCAGAGCTTGTATTATGGTTACTAAACAACTGATAAATATACTTAAATATACTATATTCAAGTATATTTATCATCATATACTATGCGACGAATCGAACCTGCGACCATCGGAAGGAAAGCACTGTACTACACCGCTAGACCTCCGAGGCCGTCAAATAACAAATAAATTGACGATCCATCTACAAACATTTGTATTCATGAATATGATTTTTTGTATCGGTTAGAAAACACCTATGTATATTATCTAGTTAGTCCACTGTTCCATAGAACAGTACATAACTCGCCCGCAGAGCTGAATGCTGATGGGGCACAAGTGGAGTGCATGATATCATCATTCATTCATCATTTCAGACTGTATCCATTCGTTGTTGGATGGCCTTTCCCAATGCTTTCCACCATGTGCGATCTTCCGTCTTCCACATTCATCCACTCCCGACCACCTCCTTGATGATGATCAGATGAACACAAAGTCAGGCCAGTTAGCCCAGTGGCAAATTCACCAGATTTCCAGAAAGGAGCGTATATATCATGCATTATTCCCCATTACTAATAGTCCCTTCCTCCACAAAGTTACGGCTAGGTCCAGAATGTGTCGCTAGAGTCAGACGGCGCTGTGTCGGGAGCTCTTGAGATGCCTTAGGAGGGCGCTCTTGTCGTGGAAGGGTCGCCCGCAGCCTCCACACACGTACTGCCGCCCACGGTGCACCACCAGCATGTGCCGGCTTAGACCTGCACCATCAACATCAAGATTTAATAGCAATTCAAAAAAATTACTTGTATAAATGGCTATTACACTTAACGGAAACGGCCGCAGCGTGGGTAGCGGTGCAGCGCGAGGGGGCGGGGGCGGGGGGTCACTCACCGGACGCGTACAGGAAGTGCTTGGGGCAGCGCGGGCAGCGGTGCAGCGCGAGGGGGCGGGGGCGGGGGGTCACTCACCGGACGCGTACAGGAAGTGCTTGG